AAATCTTCTTGAAAAAGATGTTAAACCAGTGATGTTAACAAGGAATTCCACAAATACCTATTATGTCCAGGAAATAATATCTTAAAAAAAAGTTTCAAGTATTTATCAATTAGTATCACTTTTTCCAACTCACCACTAACAGAAACCACATCATCTGACCATGTCCCATCAGCGACATCTTTGTACTTTTCAATGAATTCCGTTAATGAGATGGATACATGAAACTTGTGAGGGTATGGAGAATCATTACTAGCCTTCAGAGCTTGTATAGCTTGGCTTCGGATTTTAAAGTATTGCTACAAGACAAACGAAGCAAAGATTAGCAAAACACTTTCTCAAAAAAGAAACAACATTTTGCAAGCTGTATTCTATAAATCAAATATTATCACTCATTGACAGCAGCCACGATTGTTATTTAAATTATAAAAAAGACTTGACTTGTCACTGACATACCCTACAAATTTAACACCTAAAAAATTAAGTGTAAAATTGCAATGAAAAAAAGTAAAAATTTTAGGAAAAATTTAAGGAGCATATGCTGGGATTTTCAAAAAAGGCAGGTCTATCGCTGCCAGTAAAACCTCATGGCCTGTGAGCAAGCTCTCGTGTATGGGATTTGCCTCACGGCTACTTTCCGGGCAAAGCCGCCTAAAACACCATCGGAAGCCCGTTATGGAAAAGCAACTGGGACCCTTTTATGTTCTTAAAGGTCAAGCTCAACTCAAGCCAGGCTGCGTTTCTCTTGCGCGAGAATCGAGAGAAAGCAAAAGTTAAGAGGTGTGAGGATTATTTCACTTGGCGATATTTAAAGGCCCTCTGCATGGATGTAATATTTAACTTCAAGTGAAACTTTAACCTCGGTCAAGGGTGATGAAATAATGAGGCAACAACTTATTTATACGGAAGTTGAGATTTTTTCTGAGAATGGATTGCATCAGAAAAATGACAAATCGTTTATGGACTACTTTAAAATAAATAAAATAATTTAGTTTTCAGAAAGGAATTGAAGAAGCAAATATATCAAATGTACAGTAATGTAGGCCTACACAATCAATGGAAAAAAATAATTAGGTTATGAATGAAAAAGCGAAAGTAACTTCCTCTTACGTTTGGATCCAATGACTCTTCGTCTAATTCATCTTTCTTCTTGTTCTCAGCTGCTTGAGAGCTAGGCGCCTTTAAAACAAAGAAAGGTGGAATGGGTCGAATGTAACCACGTGTTTCCGTGACTAAATCGCTTGAATCCAAAATATAGTCGGAGCCTTACCTCCGCTTGTTTCGCCTCCTTCTCCTTAGCTTTCTTCTCTGCTTTGAGCCTTCTCTTTAGCTCGCTGTTATCAGAGATAATTATTAAACATTCAGTAAAAGTTTGGAGGTCGAGTGATTTAAATTTATACGAGAAATATAACATACTTCTTGCTAATGTTTCCGTCGCCACCGGCATCCGCCATGCTAGAGCACCTAACTGAACCCTCGTGTGTTCTGAATAGTGGACTCTGGTTGGTCCATAAGGGCTTGAGCCTCCAAAGCGCACGCGCAGTCCGTCCAAAAATTACCCGCGAAAACATGCTAAAGATTCCGCGAAAATGATCAAGACAAATAAATTTTCTTTCATTCGGCTGACCTCCATAGCCACTTGATCGATTCCTTGCGCATTAAATGCTTGAAATTAAACTTCAGTATGGAAATTCAGGCCGAATAGTGGTCTCTTTCCTCGCAAAACCACCAGTGCCACACGTACTCGCATATTACGATCCTCTGTCCTCCTTTGAACTCGATTTCTCCCGATATTCGTACCCAGCTCTCCTCTGGAATATTCAAAAAGGGACGGGAGAGTGGGGAACTTGGTTGCGCAAGGGTTCAGCGTGTGCCGTAAGAATAGCTCCATTATGTTTTGCTTTATTTGTCTATTTATCAATTGTTTCGTCTATATATTTTTGATGTTTTGAGCTGTGGGTGCTGGACAGAGAAATAGAGGAAATGCAAAATTTGTTTCCTAAACCCCTGCAGGTCTCTAGAATCCCAAGTCTTGAATCAATTCTTTTTTCAGTCAACTATGACCAGGGTCATCTCCAATAATCTTTGTATTACACCAGCTCCAGGGTGAAATTCCTGTGACAAATTATTCACAGAGACCAACAGCATCACACAGGCCACCCAATCTATGAAGACAACTAGGTATGAGTCAGCACCATACTCCCTGATTAAAAACCTCTCAGGCATTTCATAGGGAAGGTGGGGAGGAGGGTATCTAACAAATCATGTCAAAAATGTTGATTTCCACAAGTCAGATATCGACACTGAAATGATCACTCAGTAACAGCTGGGAAAGAAAAAACCGAAAAAACAGTTGTTAATAATGAGCAGTCAATTTTGAATCAACAGGGAGGGTCAAGTCACCCCTAAAACAATTTTTTAGAAAGACAATTTTCCACCAGGCAGATTTTTCAGTTCTAAATTTTATTGTGCCACTTGGCATATGTAGCTAACTAACAGTAAATATAGTGTCTAGTGTTCAAGAAAATAGTCTCTTGAATTTGCATTTAGAGTAAACAATGTAATATTACCCAATTTCTATAAAAATTTAAGGATATAAATATATTTATTGTATAAATAAAAATTGATGGTGCACATAGAGATAACTTGCATTTTAAAACAATTTTCATTATCTTAAATGAGTTCTTTCCTGTTTTCCAAACTTATAAACTTGCACAAGTATGGCAATGTCTATACATATCTGAAGCAAACCACAAATCCAAAACTGAACTGGTGCAACCTTTACAAGGAAATAACAAGTTTTGAATATATCTCCTGATAGCCACATTACAACCATCTTTACACTGCAAACAGAAAAAAATAAATGTCATGCTTCAGTTTTTCAATTTGCTGCTGGTTAAAAGAAGCTTTGTTTAACCGTTTATAGCCTAACATTAGCATGTATCTTCTCCATATGGCTAACTATACATATCCCAAGGTACTGTCAAGGAGAATTTGTATAACAATAAAGAGTGTCTTTAGTTAGTGATCATTTCCTCTATTCTCGTGACCTCTATGTGTGATTCAGGAGTGCTATTGTGAGGAGAAATTACATGTAGTCACTCCAAGGGGTCAAAGGATTAGAGCAGAGGATTCACCAAGCAACCCCTGTGGTATTTCAGATGCAATAGTACAAGATCTCCAAATAAAAGGGTTCCCAATTCTTTACTGAAACACTTGGTACAACCAGCAAAGGGAAGGGAGGGGTAGAATATGTTCAGATGACTGGATTAAAATTATGCATCGTGTGACTTATGTGACAGAAAAAAGTGAAGAACAAAGTTCCTGTATTGAAGAGTAAAACAAATAGCACAAGCTGGGATGGAAAAAGCTGCTCCTATGCGATGCAAAATGCATGAACTGAGGGATACAGAAAGAGAGAGCTGCAGTCTTATCATAAAATACCTTTTCACTAAGTATGGTTGGGGCAAATGAGAAAACATTTGGCTTTCAGTCATCATGCACAAGTAAAGTGCACTTGACCCAAATACTTTCCTTTCTAACCCTTCCACTCAGTCTATAAGCAGAAATATCATGCATGCAGATTCCAGAAATGGAAACATCCAAGTGCACATACCTCATCCCTACAGTGGACTGATTAACATGATTTCTGTAAAACTGAGGAACTCCAAGCATAGCTTCAGTGAACACTGCCAAGAATCCTATAAGCTCCACAAATGTTGGAAAGGTAAGGAATAAGTAGGTGACATAACCACCCACAGCCACAAATATCAGGACACATAACACATAGTCAGAAAAATGTGTCCAGTCCCAGAAATGTCTTCTGTGAAAATCTGTGTAAAGAAAAATGCAGAAACATGATGGTAAGACTCTAAAATGTTGAATGGATAAATAACATCAATAACTTTATTACACATATGGTGCAAAATATATGTGATTATTATCTTAAAATCTAATAGGTAGTAGAGTTGTCTGGTCTGATTGTCCCAAATTACAGGGTAGCTTGTTTCAGAGGGTTGCACCACAATAACCAGGAGCTGTTCAAGTAGTTTGCACACAAGGACCAACTACTTTCATTGCCTATTCCTGGAAAAATAGGATATTATATTTCTTTAATAATTTTGGATTACAAATATTGGCAAAAATAAACCAATCAAGTCTTAAATCCTGACAGATACAAATAATTCAAGGCTTTATGTGTTGTCCTATGCAAGAAAATAGCAAACTCTAAACCAATGATACCTCATAAATGTAATTATCCAGGTAAGAATGGCTTAGAAAAGAACTATTGTAGGTCAGACTGTCATTTAAATAACTTACCAATCAGTTCTATAAATTTGTTAGATTATCGTTTTCTACAAACTGATATTTTAACGCATCCTTTGTAAATACACTTTTATTAGTTCTCAAGATGATTCTGGGAGACTGATTTATATTTACCAAGAAATGATCTCTTCCTTGCACTCATGTCACTTTCTCTTCTTATTTTGGTGCAAAGGTGTAACATCATCATCATTGCAACAATCATGACAAAGCTTTGAGCTAATAACGGAAGTTCAAATCGACGACCAAACCTGATTAAATCAAGTAAACAGATCGTTTTAAGATTAGAGCAAGCATGTTAAGTATTAATCTGTACCACAGAAAACAATATTGGAAAAAATTTGCTCTTTCCTGTAGTAAAAATATCTCTGTGGTAAAAAGTAAATTCACCTCAAAATTCAAAAAGCATCTCAAAACTGGTAACGTTCCCAATTTTAAGGCTGATTGGATAAAAATTAACGAGAATATAGTTCTGAAAACTGGCGAAACTAAAGAAGACGGCGGGGGGGTACACACTTGCCACCAAGTAAAATTTCAAATTTCGCAATCTTGTGCGGCCATGTCGTCGTCCGTTTTCACCACACTTCTAACAAACTCAGCCAAACTGTTGATGACGAAGCGCTCTATAACGCAGTTCCGATAAACTTGAGTATTCTGGTTTCTGAATGCAATTAACAAATCGGTTAAACGAATTCTCGACAACAATTCGTAACCAGATCGTACAACGACTTACCAAAAGAATATCCTGAGTACGTTTGCAACTAGGAGAGCTAAGCACACGTGCATAGAAAAGCCTTCCGCATCACGAGATTGCAAAATGTCCCAGTATTGAGGTACATATGGTACTACGCCACCAAAGACCATAGTAACCGACGAGATCCATGAGATGATTTGAACTATCATTGCAATTATACCCATGTTCTCCAATTGTGCACTTGTATCCACAGGATTGCGAAAAGCGTCGACGTCGGAATCCATACGAGCCAATATAAAGGGTTAATGTCTAAATTATTAAAAGAAGCTTTTGACGGTTTCGAATCAGTCAAGTTAATTCAGCTGTTAGTTCATTGGCGGTTGCCACAAAGATTTCTTTTCTCTTAGGCGCTGACGTGTCTCTCCTTAATGTAAATCGCGTACAAATGCGAACTGCCTACCTCGTTATCAGAGTTAAATTTAGCTACAAAAACTTCAAAGAGATAACAACAAGGATAAATTTTCTGTTGTTCTCATTTTGTTACAAAGAAAAAAAAATTGAAGTAAAAACTGAAGTAGAAATACTACAGATCAAAAGTGAAACTTCCGCCAAAGGGGTTTATCAAGTTATTTTGGGAATTTGGAAGATTCACATGTACTTACAAGAACAATTTAACTTCCACTGTCCAAAAGAACTACGTGTGCAAGTAGTTCCCAGGACTAACGCGGTTTGGAACAATATGGCGGCCAGATGATTGGTTGGAGCATAGACGAACATAACATTTTTAAATTACAAGCGAAGACATGGTAATCCTTAAGTTAATGACTACGTTGTGTTAAATTCAGATTCTTTTAATACAGCAGACTAACTGTCTATTTTTGATTAATGCCATTAGAATTAAAGGAAAGTTTAGCAGTTAAGCAGAAATCTTTGTTGTTAAATCTCTTATCTAAGGTGGTGTATATGATTGTTTTGTTTACTCAGCATGGAAGAATCAAAGTACGTACAACAGCTGAACAAGCTGAAGCGAAGAGAAAAGAAAGGGAAAAGAAACTGAAAATTTACACAGAAACAACAAGCCGCATCTATGAAAAGGTAATATGTTTTTTCATTGCTTGACCCATTTTTTTCACTCCCATTCCGATGAAAATTCTTCCTACTGTCCGTCATACATTTTTTATAAAGTCTGTATTTTCTGAGAATTTGATGTTCAAGTGAGGTCAACTAAAAATTCCCCTAATGGATATTTTTCTTTATTCTCATCACTTTTCTGCTTGATATTGTATTGATATTATATGCAGAAATTCTCCCTTGGTCACTCATGGGGGTTTAAGGGTTGAACCCTTCTTGAAATGAAAATTCACATTCATCATGAAAGTGCCAATTGAAGTATCTTAAAACATGCTGAACTTTCAATGTTATGTGGAAGGACTTGCGGTTGGCAGTTTCAATACCTTCTTGATTCTGGAGTGCTGGAGTAAGAGTTAACAGAATAGGACCATTAATTTGTTTGTTGTACATACATATATCTTCAATTAACAACTATTTCATGAGTACAGATTGGATGTGAATTGGCTATAACCAATCTTGAATCCAACAAGAGAATATAGAATAATTATTTTATTGAATTTCATTAAATCCTACTCATTTGTGTAATTAGAGAATAAATGTAAAGCCAAATTTCCCACTCCAAAAGTGTTGGTGCAATGCAGTGTTAGTGAAGTGAACCAATCAGAACACTCAAAATACATTATTCAAAATGTAATATTTGGATCACTGTGTTAAAAGCACCTTTATTGCACATGGAGTTTGTTAATGCAATAGAAACAAATGTTTTAAGGTTACCACAAAGAAAAATGAGCAATCATGTACCAAACAAACAAGCAAACAAACAAGTAAATAATGATTTGCTGATCGGGTTTTCCATTTTTTCAGAGAAAGAATGGAGAAATGGACAAGGAATCTCTCTCTTTGTCTGAACAGGTCCTTGCAGCTAATCCAGACTTTTCAACTCTGTGGAACTTCAGGAGAGAGATTTTCCTCCATAAGAGAGATGAGAAGTAAGCACTGCTAATTGATATACTGAGTGAATTGACAGGAAAGCCACCTGACTACTGGCTGTTGGTATATAAATCAATATTGTTTCACCATTTGATAAATGTAATGTTGATTAATTTTTAAGTCCACCAGATGTAATACAAGACCTTTGCACGAAGGAGTTGTATTTCCTCAAGAACTGTCTCCAGGTGAACCCAAAATCATATGGTGTTTGGTACCACAGACAATGGATCATGGAATTCATGCCTCAGTCTAACTGGAAGGAAGAATTGCAACTTTGTAATAAGTTTCTATCATATGATGAGAGAAATTGTAAGTTCATCACCACAATTTTATCAAAGATAATGAGAAAGAGACAATCACGCATAAATTCTCACCTTCTAATCTGATGTTTTATGAAAACGGTCTTTTTTCTAGAGCATGGTCTTCATTGTTTGTGTTCTCCTGGTTGTTTAACCCTCCTTATTGTCTACCAAACGATTCTCATTATGTTAGTTTGGAGAATTTGGTATCAAATCAATTAGTAATCCCATAATTGATATTTTTCTTTATTCTCATCACTTGTCTGCATTATATTGTATAGATATAGTAAGGAGAAATTCTGTCTTGGTCACTCATGGGATTTGAGGGGTTAACTCATCACTCATTATTACAATTGGAGGGCTCAGAGCAAGAACGATCCCTTGATTTTTCGGCCATTTTTTAAAGTGTTCAGAAGTAGTTGAATTTTGGCATGTGGACACTTTCAAAAATGGCCGAAAAATCAAGGGATCGTTCTTGCTCTGAGCCCTCCAATTATGATTGATGTACCACATATATTTAGCCTTAACACTGAACAAGATCAACTGAAATATAAAAATTCTGCAGAACAGTCTGTCCTGTGCTAATGACTGTTCAGATAGTGGTGATAGCACCAACCTCCAATTTGCTATGATTCTTCCAATTGATTATTATTTGTTGGCCAGTGTTAGAAATTTGGTGTTAAATCCAAATAATTTGTTCAACATACTCCTTTTAAAATTCTAGTACTCCTCTGTCGGTCACTTATGGAGTGATAGATGAAGTAAAGAACACTTTAAACCTCTTCTTTGATAGTTTGACATAAATTCTGCCACCTTTTAACATCTTCTGATCAATTTTATTGAGAGATTTTGTTCATTTTACCCAGTTCACTGTTGGGATTACAGAAGATACACAGTACAGAAAGCAAATGTATCACCGCATGATGAATTCAACTTTAGCACAGAGAAGATCAAAGAGAATTTCTCCAATTATTCCTCATGGCATTACCGTAGCAAACTTCTTCCATTGATTCATCCTGATCAGAGTGGAGACAGAGAGAGAGTGGAAGAGGGAGCACTCATGAAAGGTATAACTAATATACTGTTAAACTCAGAAAGAAGTAACTTACAATACATTGACGGGAATCCAGACCACCCAGACAAATGAATGAAAACCGATAAGAGGACAAAACTGAAACAATAGATTCCAACCTTTTCAAATCCAGTAAATACATATTTGAAATGTAGAGTTAAAGACATTTAAATCTCAACTCACTTATAAACAGTGTCAGGTAAATGGCAAGTTTACTTCCTTGGTGTTTTAGACAAGCACTTCAATCAACTGCTGGTGTAACTTCACTGACAGGACTTGCTTGCATAGCATACTATTACCACACTTAATCATAACCATTACAAATTCCTCAAATTTTTTGGGTGCATTTGCAGCTTCATTTTTTACTAATCATTCTGTACAATTTTAATCAGACAGTGTAATCGGACAGTTTGCTGTAATAAGACACCAGTAATCAGACAGTTGAAGCAGCCAACCGTCTTAAGCTAATCAACCAATCACAGAAATGATCAAAATAACCATAGAAACAACCACTTATCCGAAGGAAAACTGGGGAATTTCCAAAATGGAGGAATTTTGAACTAAATACATTGTCTCCACTTGAGATATTTGTTCTAAGTGTGTTAACGTTTTTTTGGAAATTGAAATGGTTATGACTAATTGGTAACAAGTGATTGACATAATCAGAAGACCGCAAAGTGGTTATCCAATTTGTTAATCATGAGTATGGTTACAGACAGAATTGAATGACAAGAGGCGCTGTTACCATTATGAACAAAGTGATATACAAAGCGTTATTTACCCTCTAAATTATTAGCCAGGGTGTTCTTTGTCAAAATATGATAAAAATTTTAATTTACTTTAAAAACCTGCAGATAAGCCACACCATTTTTCCAAAAACCATTGCTAGAAATCGGGGGTGCAGCTTATCTGCAGGAACATTTGAAAAAGGTGTGCCATTTTCGCGTACAATTTAATGCCTGGGTACTAAGCTTGGAATGTTCCACTCACACTCTTGTTGTAATGCAAAAATCTATAGAAAAACTGTGTTGAATGAAGAAATTCCTGTCCACAAATACCAGAAAAAGATCAATCATATGTCAAAGTTGATAGAAACAATGTTCATTATATTAAAGTGCTAAAATTGTGGGCAAGACTTTGAAGTATTTTCCATTGCAATGTTAATAGTGAGTTTACATTCAATGAACAGTGGATGAAGAAGACTTCTTAAGGCTCAACTTTGGACTTCTTTTAATTTTTTTCAAAAAACTTTTTTTCCAAAAATTTGAGCCACTATATTAAGGGTGCAGCTTATCTGCGGGTTTTTACAGTAGTTGTTAATTACACCCTAACATCAGTATCCATATTCTCCTTACTCTCCTCTATATGCTTCTTTTGGTACTGACAAGGAGAACACATTCAAGATCTCAGCCTCTTAGTTTGGCAATCGTTTCCTTTATTCTCATGATCTTAGTGAATGATTCAGCAGTATTACTGTTAGGAGAAATGAGATTCTGATCGCTCTTAGGGTTTAAAGGGTTTAATAGTACTGTTAATTTTGTCATGTTCTATTTCAGAATTTGATCTAGCTCAAAATGCTTATTTCACTGACCCCTATGATCAGAGTGCTTGGTTCTATCACAGATGGCTTTTGGGGAGAGGTATAATACACTCTATCTTTAGTTGGTGTTTAGTATGGCATATAACTGTACCTTGTTTGAATTGGAAATCGGGTTCCCAGGGCCTGTTTATAAAAAGGGTGGATATTGCTAGCAAACAGATAAATTGCTATCCAGAGGATTAAGTGTTAAGAAAACCAACTGTTCTTTCCATCACAGAGAGATCTATCCAATGGATAGAGTTATCCACTCTTTGAACTACTGGGGCTTGGTGACAAATGTACTGAATTGTGGATCAAGAGGTCTGGGTCCAAGCCCCAATTAGATCACTTTATTCATTTGTGTTCTTGGGCAAAACACTTTATTCTCACAATACCTCTCTCCAACCAGGAGTATAAATGGGTACTAGTGAACTCATTCACAGAAACCTGACCCTGGTTTTTCTAAGGGTGGATTAATATGCTATTGGCTGGATGAATCTCTATGCGGTCAAAACGCAATACATTTTGTTAACACTTAGGGCCAGTTATTTACATGACATCCAACCTTAACCATGGTTGTTTACAGTTTTATTAAATAATTGTCCTTCCAAGTGCTAGCTTTTGGCTCTCTTGATGCTGTTCACAAAAAGAATTGTTCAGATAAAAGGTTCAGCTAAATTGAGCATTGTTTAGAATGCAGTTTTGTTAAACAACAACCAATCTTTGTTTCATAATCCTCTCATTTTGTGGGTTGGGTTTTATCCATTTGTTGGTATTATCTCCTCTTACCTATCAGGGATAACAATATCTAAGGGGAGGAACAGCAATACTCAAAAATTTCTCCATACCACAGATGTTTTAATGAGCTCCAGTAGTGAGGAGTAACAAAGACTTCTCCTTTCTACCTTCTAATCTTTTGATTTTCTTGGTTTAAAAATTGTCCTGATTGCCCTTGATGATCTTTAACCATCAAATTCCTAATAAGCTATGAGTGATTTATTTAAATTATTGTTTTATATTTTCCACAGCCAGACCACAGATGGATATTTTGTGTTTGTATGTTAGGTGTGATGATACACATGCAACAGTCATTGTGAAGTTTACACAGCCAATCCAGGTCAGAAAGAAAACTAATTTACTCTTAAATTTATTACTGGAACTGAACTCTCCAGACAAGTTTTCAAAACCTTCTAACTTAAGTGTTTGAATCTATACTTCCTGACCAAAATTTAGAGCTTTTTAGACCTGTGCTTTCAATGTTCTCCTTTTCATGTGGTAAGCAGTAAAATTAGCCACCTGCAGTCCACCTTACAGTTCTTGTAAATTCAACAGCTGAAAGGATTGCTCTAAGGGTTTGAACATTTACTTTACCTGTTGTGCTTGAAACATCACTGTGCTTTATGAGATGAACCAATAATGCTTTGATTCTGTCTCTGCAGGTTCCTAAAGAAGATCCACATGTTTCTATTTGCGGAGATGAGGTCCAAGGTCAATGGAACAACTGTTACTACAACAATCACCCTTCTACAGTCTGGATATCCTACTTTATGAGACACATTATTTGACTTGGTTCTTTGTTTTGGTTTTTTTTTTTTTTTTTACTACATAAGTTAATTTCATTTGATAATACAAATTTCTCTTCCTCGGAAAAAAGTCCTACCTTTCATCTCACCTTTGAATTCATTTCAAAACTCTGTTGCTTTTGAAACTCCCCACTTCTGAATTTCTGGGAAGTAATTTTACATGGGTATTTTTTTGTGATGCAAAAATTATTGTTTTCCCTGGAATTTCAAGGGCTATCAAAAGTGCACCTGACAACACTATCCAACAGTTGGACTTTTTGATAAGCGAACTTAAAATGGTAATTAAGCTTTAAAATATTTAAAAGCTTTTATGCTTCATACGAATTGAGCTTGGCTCACACATTGCGAATTATACCTTGTTAATAATTGAAATCACTCTCTCTCTCTCTTTCTTTTTCACTCTCTATTTTTGCATTAAAGTTGCACATAATTTAACAGTTTTTGTAAAAATTTTACCCTTTCCCGCAAAGAGAAAAGAATTGTTTTTCTCTAATTGTTATTCAGACCACTTTTTCTTGACAGTATTCAAATTTATAGCTGTGGGGATGGTCACTCAAATTTTCCAAATGGAACAACAATTGAGGTGAAATTCATGGGAGGTAAACTAGAGAGGTCTGTGGCAGTACCAGAAGGTTTGTGATGAGTTAAAAATTCAAGCTTGTTGCTATGGGAAAAGTGTTAAGTTAAATGTCTCTCCTTATACCAGAGAAGTGGTTTTAGAATGAGAAGGATCCACTTTCAAGGAGAGTTAATTTAAAAGTGTCTTGAACTCAAGCCAAGGTGTTCACAATGTTAGAGGAGGGAAAATCTTGGTTTCCTCAGGTTTAAAACAACTGAGAAGATTATTACACTATTTACATGGATGTGATGCTAACCTAGCTCAAGTTATACACACCATTTCATCAGGTTTCTCTCTATGTCTTTGGGTGGAGAGATACACTGGGTGAGGAAAGCGTGACTTGCATTTATTTTCCCACAAAGGTATCACTTCTAAATCAAATATTAGGCTTGTGAGAATTAGGGAAATGATCGCAAACTCGGTAAGCTCTTGACTTTTAACGAAATTCTCGTTGTCAGTAACATAGGAAACGTAAAAGAACAGTATGGAAATTATTGATGCTGATGTTAGGGTGACAAGGGCTAAATGCCTTTTGTGTATTTATTGTAGGTGATTCTGAGGTTTGGTCATCTGCAACTGAGTCGCATCTCTTTAGGTATTGAAAATACTCTGGTCTCTATTTGCTCATCAACTTTTATAGCTTGAAATATACATATCTCGTGGATCAAAACGATTAGGGGTTGGACTCTTGGGCTTGAGGCTTGGCCGGAATTTACATCTTTGACGTCGTTTAATGAGGTTTAAACCAATTTTATTGACACCATTTTTAGCTTCCTTGCACTTAACGCTGTAGCGTAAGTCAGTGATTTACTTTCAATTTGTGTGCTGTGTTTTACTCGTCATCAGAGCGGAGCTCACAGCTGTCCACAGTTCAGTCCTTCAACAGGAGCTAGAATCCTGTCGACTCTTGTTGGAAGAGGAACCGAATAACAAGTGTAAGTACTCCACAAGTTCAAGGTGGAATTCAGGCCACAGTTGTGGGAGGCAAGCAGTCTCGATGATGCGCCTTTACGGTTCAGCCCGTTCTCTTACGGATCTGCCATTTCGTCATTCCTTTGAAAAAATATGACAAAGTTGCGGAATATAGCCCCC